GCGTCCCCATACCGCCAGAATTGTACATGACTACCTTGAAGAGGTCGGTATCGAACTCATGCAGTGGCTTAAACCCCATCGAGCACGCCTGGGACGAGCTTCAGAGATGCGTGAAAGGTCGAAACCCCCCACCAATCACGCTTCCCGAGCTCAAACAAGCACTGGTGGAGGAATGGGAAGGTATTCCTCAGCACCGGCTCCGAAATTTGGTGTACAGCATGCCTAATCGCCTGGAAGCTGTCAGAAGAGCTCGTGGAGGCAATACAAAGTATTAAATGAAGAAAGTGATGAAAAACAGCAAAAAAACAATCATAAAAAAATTTAATCTTAAGAAAAATATGACTACTTTAGTTTTTTTTATTTAGAGATAAGTTAAGAGTTAGAGAGTTTAGATTTAAGTTTTATTTTATTTTTTTATCTGTATAATTAAATTCTCAATTGAACAGTCTTCGTTTCATTAGGATGGCATACGTAGTTCGGGAGATATTCGGGTTTATGTGTCTGACCCGTTATTTTTGGAACCGAGTTTATTTGTACGTGAGTGCCAAACATATGTAGGTACAAGTTTTTTTTCGTATTTATAATTAATCGAATAGGGGTCCACAGTGGATTGTATATTATATCCTTTTAATGAGTAACAAACACATGTCAATTTTGCTTAGCGCATTTTCTTATTTTTTATCACATCATTACATTCATTCGTAGTATAATGTAACCTACCAATATACACTCACTTGGGTGAAATATCCAGCCTTGAGAACGTTTTTTTAAAGCCCGAGAAAAATAACTAACTACCTAATAAGAAAAGTCACTTTACACTAAATATTCATAATGACTCTTATTAAGTAGGTAAATCGTCTGAAATTCGAATCTCCCACGGTAATAAGCTGTGCGGTGCTCTCGTAAATTTCGTTGCCAATATTGTCGGGCCATTAAAAGTTGTAACGTTGTTAGCGTAACGAGCTGAACTTGCCATAGAAAGGGGAATAATAATGTACCTGCCTATTACATAAAACCCGTGAATAATACAGCTATAATAGTCTGACGTTTATCACTAATCTTGTTGAAAAACAGAAGTACCTACCACGCACGCAGTGCGTACCGGTACGCAGTACCATATTACCCTTACGGACTACCTAAGTAAGTTCTCTTAGAGATCTGTTGACCACTCAAACAGAGGCTCAAGTGCGAGTTTATTTCACATCTACTCGATCGTCACGGACGGATTGGGTCCGAGTGGAGGCTGTCCTCCCGGGCCCTCTCCGCCGCCTCCTTCTGCGAGATTACGTCTTCTCGGTGAAACATCTGTCACTACCGGCCATGGAGCGTATGACGGCCGGCAGTGAGAGATCCCCTCCGATGACTGCAATGAGAACCCGGCGCTACGGCGCCCAAGCTGGGCAAATTGCCATCGTGTGTTGAGCCGAGTCCTCACTGCAATCGCAGTGGTGACAGGCGGGACTCAATTCCCTCCTGGCGACCGAGTGCAGGTGCAGGTGCCGAGTGCAGGTGCCCGGAAAGTACCCGCGTCAGCCGGAAAGAAAGGGTCCCGTGCAGCCGCCCTACCCACTCGACGATGACGGCTGGAGGCTCCACGTGCTGGCTTTGCCGCCGTGGAGGCACTCCAGCCGGGACGACCATCGAGCCATCGTGGCTCGACGAGCGGCCTCACGCCACTCGCGTATCTCTTCGGGCGAGGGCCGAATGCCACTATACGCCCGGTACTCAGCCGTCCGCCGATATACTTCGGCGAGCACTTCCGCCTCCAAATCCAACGGGGGAGTACCAGCCAATGCGCACGCCGCCTCCGTCGAAACGGTGCGGTAACCGCGTATGGCTCTAACCGCCAATATCCTCTGAGAGCGCCAAAGGCGTGCCCTATTCTGGGTGGTCAGAGCCGGCGCCCACACCGGTACACCATACAGTGCCATTGACCGGACAACCCCCCGTGTACAGCCGTCTCGATGCGACGCTGGGTCCACCCAAATTGGGTAAAAGTCGCCGAAAGGAAGACGCAGCGCCGACCAGCTTTGAGAGCAAGCTGTCGGAAGTGCTCGTCGAATAGCCACCTTCCGTCGAGGATCAGGCCCAGATATTTAATTTGGGCCTGAACCGGTACGAGGACCGAGTTGACCACGATTGTGGCCCCGGGGGGTGGACCACGACGGGGCCCATGGAATATTAGGGCCTCCGTGTTATCTAGGGCCACCCGTAAGCCCAGCGCCTCAATGCGCCCGACCACCAGAGAAACTCCCCTGGTGGCCAGGCGCGCCGCCTCTTGAAAGTCCGCCCCGTGGAATGCTTCGCTGATGCAGCTGAATGACTATTGAATGCGTTGGCGATGTCCAACGACACCACCAACAGCACACCGCTACGGCTCACCGCCTCTTCGGTCACGGTCCTGAGGCGCAATACAGCGTCGACCGTCCAACGCCCCGCTCGAAAACCGAATTGGGCGTCCGACAGATCGGGGCCCACCTCGCAAAGGTGCCGGACGATGCGGGCAGAGAGAATTGTCTCAAACAATTTACCCGTCTCGTCCAGCAAGGGGTGAGCGACGTCTGCCCCAGCCTTAAACCTATTTCGTCCTTTGATGTTAAATGTAATAAAGATCTTACGAACTCGGCAGATTTTACTTTAAATATAGCCCCTTGACTGACTTGAATATGTTGTTAAAGCTGTAAGGCTTTTGGATAAATCTCTCAATGCTGGTGTCCCGCAAGGCTGGGTGCTATCACTCACACCGTTTCAACTGCCTATGACATGTTTCAAACTAGTAGCTTCCATAGCTATGCTAATGATAGTACGGGAGATGTCTTTTATACCGGCCGCCCCAATATTTCTGGCTGGGTGATATCACTCACACCGTTTCAACTGCCTATGTCATGTTTCAAACTAGTAGCTTCCATAGCTATGCGAATGATAGTACAGGAGATGTCTTTTATACCGTCCGCCCCAATATTTCTCAGGAAAACATAATCGTGAGTCGAAACAATCTTGTGTCTGAAATTGAAACTTATATCACCTCGGCTTGAGAGCACCTTCCTTAACTGCCTCAGCCTGTATCGGAATGTTAGGCATAGACATATCGAACGGAGACCTGTTTCAGGGTCACTTAGAGCGTAAGGTCAAATTAGCCTCAAAGAAGCTCGGTATCTCAACAGATCGAGATAGTATTTCACTCCGGCCCACCGCCTCCAACTTAATATTATTAAACACATAAGGTTTCAATTGCATAGCTTTTATACTTTGGTTTTTATTGATATCTATAAAACCCCGATTTCGTCACTGATGCCAAAATTCTTAGGACATTTTCTGAAGTTCTAAAACGCTGTTTTTTATGTAAGCTATTATTAATACACAAACAACAAGAAATTCAATATCTTGGAACTTTCACGGCCTCAACCCTTTAAACTGAGGGGATTGAAATTTGTATATTTGCCGTAAAATTTGATGAGACCTGAAAATTGATATAGGGACTCCTTGTTATAAATTTTAAAAAAATGTTTTGAGCATCTTACGTAAAGAAATGAAATACCATCAAAAACATGTGTGTGTATGTGTGTGTTCATTTTCATGTTGTCAAGACGAGACGGCTCGCACTGTCAAAAACTTATCAGATATAATGTAGAACCAAGCTTCTAACTCTACACTCCCTAACTCTACAAACTTTACACTTTAGTCGAAATATGTGGCTTAGTCGTTTCGCTACCAACACATGGGCGTAAGGTGAAAATTTATTTCGCCACCGTCACATGGGCGTAAAGCGTAAGGTAAAAAATGTAACTATTCATTTTTCGTTACTTTTTTGTCATACAGTAGTTCTTGTAGTAACGAAACGGTCAAGTCACATATTGACAAGGAAATTGAAATTAGCTTGTAGAGTTAGGGCGTGTAGAGTAAAGAAGCTTGCTTTTACATTATCATCATCAACAGCCTTTACTAGTCCACTGCTTTTACATGATATCTGATAACTTTTTGACAGTGCGAGCCATATGGTTTTGGCAACATTTCACAAGAAAATGTTTTTGTTAGGATGTTTTACTTAACTATTCTATCTATACAAATGCATAAAATATAAGTATCTGTTTGTAATGTCATAATAACGGGTTTTATTAAGTGTATCGCAATGTTTACATGGTACTTGTACCAAAAATCTACTTTAAATTTTTCGTCTGTCTATTTGTTCCGGTAAATCTCCACACTAGGTTACCCGATTTTCATGAGTCTTCAAGATTTTCGCAGTTAACTGACGTTATGGAGTAAAAGTAATATAGGATACTTTTATTTTGGCGAAGAATAATTTTAAAGTTATTACTTTTTTATTAGCGAGAAATCTTGCTATTAATATTAACTCTCGTGTTTATTTATGTGTAAATTATTATTTATGTACCGTAAGCCTTTTGCGGTTCGATGGTAAGACATGGTAAAACACGCTTGTAACAATAGATAGAATCAAGCATAGAAAAGAAATACTAACACATAATGTTTTCCCAAACCCTTTATAGTCGAATCTCTGTCAAAATCATAGGTAGGTAAACATGCAATGCTTTTTTTTTAATTTTTTAATTATTTTGAAATATAAAGGTTTTATGAATTAGTGATGATGTGAGTAAAATAACCAATATGGCACAACAGTGTTATCTTAACAACGTCATTTACATGCAGGGTCGTGCTTGCGATAACTTGGCGTGGGCGAGCTCTACCCGGCTTTGTTTCATGTTTACTCCATACCATCTAGCTCTAGTAGAATATATCTATCCTCATACGCCCTGTTTCCAATAAATATCATTACGTAAGAACCAATTAAATTGCGACTGAAAGCTTTATCCAAAAGCATTATCGTTCAACGCAACAGATATACATAATTGTTTCGTGAGTGAAGTGGTTCAAGTGTTAAATCTCCTGGCGTCCAGTACTAATAACGCGTTATCTAATGATGATTGGTGTCTAACATCGTTGCTGCGCCGTTATGTAGGCGGAAAAGTGGCAGCACGTGAATGGACGGGCGCAGGATCGATAGAGCTGAGTGCGCAGGTCCGTTTCTACAGTACACAGCTGGCGGATTCGCACCGACCCGATCAACCTGTATCTTAGTGTCCACAGTGAAGGAGCTAAGTGTATCAGCTGTATCTCGAACATGTTCCAGTGTTATTGGCGGCTCTAAACGGTGCGTAGAACAATCATTTTATATAGATCGGCCCTCGTACCAATTCGTATACTATGTTTTTTCATCCGCGGTCGCCATAACTTCATATTGACGGGAAACCTGTTACACGATTCCTCATAACAATTCATTAGTAATGTGAATGTTTGTTTATCAACCAAAGGCTGGTAAAGCTAGAGCCTTAAGTGAGCTCTTCAAATGCTGCTATTTTTATCGAACGTTCTATTAGACTATCTACGTGTAATCGATTTAATGTCAAGCTGACTGAAAAACTGGTAGGAGGGCATTTTGTGATATATACCTATTTCTGGCATGTAATATTTACATTGGACTATTACCAATGTATCTAATGACAATTAGAATAGTTTATGTTCAATAAAAGTCGAGCCTAAGTTATAAAAATGGCATCAATATACAGTTAGCGTGGGTGGTAAAGGGCATGAGTGCCTACGTCAGTGAATTCGACATAACAAACTATAGAGCGTTCGGACTGTGATCAATTTTCGCTTCTATTTTAACTAGGATACGGTTTAAGACCAATCGTTTGTTATGGAATCGAACATTACGAACCAAAATCTAGTATAATATAATGTGGTACACGTTGAATATATTTAAGTAGTAGTAATGGTTGTGAATGATTAAAAAAATGTCCATTTCTAATGAAATTTTATTCTGGTTGTCAAAGAAAATATTTCTTTTAGAAATACAAACCAAATGTAATATAGGGATTTGGCATTTCCAGAGAATGGAACAAATAAAATATTTTATCTTTCTAATTAAGTAAAGTGTAGTTTGATGGAGACTTACACAAAACAGAATATACATCAAATGCTATAAGCTGAGTGATTCGTTTTTATTCGAATTCTCTGGTAATTTAGTTTTAGGTACCTACTGTTTTATGCCTTGAAATAATTACTAAAGAACTTGTTTTTAAATAAAACACTTACGACGATAGACTCAAAGACAAAACAAACAATAGACAATAGACAAAACTCAAACAAAATAAATTACAACCAGACTCAAAACAAACGATCGTGCTCATCATACAAATATTTGTTCTGGGTGGGAATCGAACCCAACCTCCGGTTTAGCAGTCAGGGTCACTAACCACTAGACCAACAGACCCGTCAATATATAGGTATCTTTGAATAGCCTGACGTTTCGATCAAATTGTACGGGTAATTTTTATAGGCTGACCGGCTCACGGACTGGCCAGTCACTTTAATACTCAATCATTTTGTACGTTTCGCGTTTAACATATTTCATCTTAATAGCTTCAATCAAAAGTTAGATGATTTACTATTCATTTCTATTATAAATTTTCTTACAGTCTAGTTTTATACGCGGTCTGGCCGTAATTCCTTGACTAAATATTATTCATATCTTTCTCCGTATCGGTAAACACAAACAAATAATTCTACAGTCCCCCCCAGTGGCGGATTTGCGATCTTGGCCGCTCTAGGTCTCAGTCCATGTAGTAAGTACACAGCACCCATTATATAGACTACATAATGAATTTACTTTACTCGTATTGCCAAATTTTATAGAAAAAAGTTTTAGGGATTCTTGCACGTTTAAATAAAATGTTGGAATAATGTTGCCCTCGGCAGTTTGGAATGTCAATTCCCAAGTCAGCTAAAGTTGAGAGAACAACATTTGAGGTAATAGGTTTGTGGCCTGTGTTTGGAATGAACATGAGGAAACGTTTTGCAGGTGATTCATTAGGCAGGACATATCTGATAACATAAGTGAGCTGGTCTACGTGTGATCATGATCATAGAAAAATATACGTTAACGCCTTGGTCAATGTGATATAACGCGTTGCATCGTTCATTCATATGCAGGACAGATAATCTGAGAGTTGGCGAATTCTACAAATGTTCTTCCTAAATTACTTTACATGTACAAAATAACTTATACGTACATTGTATTACGTTATACATACATTATACATATGCTGTAAAATATTTATTTTTTGTACATAATACGATGCGTTACACTCCACCGCCAGAATGTGCGCTATCCCTTTTATTAAAGTATTTTGAGTGATTTCTTGTCATCATCAGTGAATTTTTTTATATAAGAATAATATCTGGCTGCCCTGGGTCCGGGCCGAGTGGGCCTATTATTGAGATATTTTGAGGGGAAATCTGCCAATGGTCCCTGCCACACCCTTCTGGCAGGAGCTAGTCTCGTTTAACTATTTAGATTTATCCTTATTATACGCATAATTGACCGCCTATTAGCCAAATTCGGAAATAGAGCCCTTTACCAATAACAAAAGCCTACACTTTTTACATATATTTGGTCTTCATAAAGCGTGTTCATAAAGTGTTTCTACCTCTCTAATTTTAATCAGGATCTTACAATTTAAGTTCTTAATAATGTTTGTTACAAGGTCTGAATTTCTTTCTTTCTTTAGGTCTTATTCTTAATTTATTAGTTAAATGAAATTAAGCAGATCGCTGTTTTTGTTTATGGAAAAATAGTTGCAGCCTAACTGAAAAGATCTTGCCATCTCCAATAAATTTATTTAGATAGTAATGTAAGATCCTTTTTTAAAAAAGACTTATTCCTGCTTATTCTTCAACAAAGGGTTATTACTTTCGTCTACGCCAGCTTTCTGTGTCCATGAATAAATTCAATGAAAGTGAACCTACCTGATTTCCGTGGCATGTTTTTGAGATTTTTTCTTTGGACCCATCGGAAGTCCGATCATGTCCTCTTAGAAAATTTAGAGTTAAGCTATTCTACTTCTCATAGATTCTCTGCTGTACTTTCTGCCAGTAAGATATAGGAACGAATGAAAACAACGAACGACAGAATTCAAATAATATTAACGTCTCATTAATAACCTCCTTAAAAGAAAAAAAGTTGTGACCGCTTTCGTTGTTCAGGGTACATCTACAATGAACTCAAATATTATTTCTGGATTTCTGCAATTAGTCAATCAGTTACATAGACTAGTGCGGTACTTGTACCTGTATAATGCGTTCTCAAATATTTTTCTATGCTATTATTGGGGTGATAAATCAGACGATATTTATCTCTGTGGGAAAACCAACCCACGAACAATTCTATTTTTAAAAGTAGATCGAAATATCGACATTTCCTCGTGTAATTTTCTCTCAAAGGCAGCGCGTGCAGATATTTTTGGATATCCAGAGTTGTTAATTATACATAAATAGGTATATATATTTACAATTTTGTCTTTAAGTTTATGCGGCACGAAAACATTATTATCGCCTTCGATACCAATCAAGGCCAAATATTCTACATTATTTTAAGATCGATATAGATAGGATTTAAGATTAAATAGCTTTCATGATATCCATATGATATATTCTAGTGTACTTATTAGGGTCCTAAATAACATCTAGGTACTGCATAAGTAAAATGTTCGGACTTTACTCAATTACTCGGCTTTCGTCGGGCTTTACTCAATTAATTACATTTAGACAAACATATAAATTTGAGTTACATGTACAATCAAAACAAATGAGAATGTTAATTCTCACTTTTTACCACAAGTATGCCTTAATTGGACCTGAACGCGAGGGTCACAAAATGTAGGTCATATAAGAAAACATTAAACGGGAAAAGCAACGTGTTCTCCTTCGTTGCGTCTATTGTATTGCGAGTAGGGGTTGTAAGGAAGCATCTTATACACATTAACCCTTTTATTTAGACAAATATAATGGTGACTGTGACTCTTTGATTCTGCGTTAAGAGAGATGACATACAGAGCGACATGAAAATAAATAAATTTCCAGATCTTAATTAAGAAACGTTTTTGTTTAATGTATTAACCGTATATTTGAGAAAAAACGTTTAAATATCCGAAAACATTTTTTGAGTCGTTAATTAAAGCCAGTGGGCATTAGAGCAAGTCTGTTAGCATTAACCGGGCACATTGGGAATGAAAGAAAGAAAACTGAAAGAGTGAATTAATTAAGTATAGAAAAAGAAGGAAAACAGGGTCTACAATCTTTCAAATAAGTGTACTGCCCCTCAAACCCGGCAACGCACTTGTAACTTTTAACTTGCAAGTGAACATGGGTCTCGTTATGCACACAACAACCCTTCAAGGATGGTAAGTTATCCTTGAAGGGTTGTTGTGTGCATCTGTACAGATAAAAATGTTAAGTCGGTTTGTGTACGCTTCAAAAATTCGAAAAGTTCTGGACCGTGGGACAAAAGGATATTTATCTGTCACGGTAGAATAACTCTAACCCTTGTCATTTTGGGAGCAAAGCTTCAGAACACGGATAGAAGAAATGTCACTGTCACTATCATAATTTGCTTTTTGTTTTATTATAGCCTTTCATTTTTAACCGACTTCAAACAAAAGATTTTTTCAATTTGGTTTTTTTTTATGTTGAATACCTCAGAACTCCGTTATTTTTAACCATTTGGGAAAACTACTTTTTAATTTAATTTTTATAAAAATAATTTTTCCTTTAATTTTTGGTTCGATTTCGATTGGATGTAGTTTATTACAATTCAGGCGCATTGATGTTGCTGATAGTTTTTTAAAGTAATAATGTATTTTGAATACAATCACCTATTTTCAGGTTTGAAAATGCTCCCATACCAGTTTAGAAACATATTGAAACGTTTTGTAACATTTCAAAGCAGTTAGAAATATTATCAAACGTTTCGAAACGTTTAGATATGAATCTTCGATATTTTTAGATGTCATTATCATCATCATTATCAATGGCCTTTAATGGTCCATTGCTGGACATAGACCTCCCTTTAGAAAGGAAGTTTTGGCCTACTATACCATACTGGCCAGACGGGTTGCTATAGGATTTGTTTTAAGTTTTCCTTCTCTTTGCAGTGCTGTTGTCCTGCGTAGTTTGCTTCCTTAGTAGGGTTTTACGATATTAGGACACCCACGGGATGAATAGGGTAGGTGACTCTCCGTATTCTTAATCTGACACCACACGGACAAGATTTCTTATACAAACGTTTGTAAACACCGTTGTGAAAGCACCTTA